CTGATGGTAGATACTATATTTTCATTCCCACATGTAGAACTCCCTTAAGCATTTCTGTATGACCAATCTAGTGGTTATAAATTCCCTCAGCTTTTGCTGACCTGGGAAAGACTATTTCTTCTTCACTTATGAAGGACAAATTTACTATATAGCATGCCCTTGGCTGCCAGGTTTATAATTTTTTTCTTTCAGCACTGAATATATCACCCCATTCTCTGCTGGCCTGTGAGGTTTCTGTTAAGAAATCTGCTGTTATTCTGATGGGATTGCCTTAGAAGTGAGTTGATGTTTTTCTGTTGCTATTTTGAAAAATCCTTTTGTCTTTGACTTTTGACAGTTTGAGTATAATGTCTTGGGAAGACCTTTTTGAATTGTTTCTCTTTGGAAATCTCTGAGCTTCCTGTATCTGGATGTCTCAATTTCTTGCTAGAGTTGAAAAGTTTTCAGCTATTATTTCATTAAGTTTGTTTTGTATTCCTTTTATTTTTCTCTCCGCCTTTGAGCGACCCCCAAAATTAGAATATTTGGTGGCCTTATGGTATCCTATATGTCTCATAGACTTTGTCCATTTTTTAAAATATCTTTTTCCTTTATCTTTGTCTGACTGAGTTATTTCAAAAGACCTGTCTTCAAGTTTTGAAACTTTTTCTTCTGCTTGATCTAGACCTCTGTCGAAGCTTTGAGCATTTTGTATTTCATTCAAGGAATTCATCAGTTTAACAATTTCTGTTTGGTTCTTTTTTGTGATATCTATCTCTTTGGTAAATTGCTCATTCATATCCTCCATTGCTTTTCTGATTTCTTTGTACTGTTTTTCTGAATTATCTTGTTTCTAAGTGAACTTCTTAAATATCACTACTTTGAATTATTTTTCTGGAATTTCACATATTTATTTGTTGGAATTATTGCTGAAAAATGATCGTGTTTTTTGGGGATGTCATATTTCCTTGCTTTTTCATGTTTCTTGTGTCCTTATATTGATATTTGCACACCTGGTGTACTAGTCAGTCACTTCTTTCTATTTTTTGAATTTGTTTTAATAAGAAATGACTTTTCTTCCTGAGGATGTAGTTGTGGTGTTCATTGGATAAGGTGATTTGACTTCAATTCTAGGCATGTGCCATAGTGTAGTCTCTATAGGATTTATTGGTTGTAAACAGTGTCAGTAGTGTCTATGATTTCCACACCAACTGAGGGTGGTTTGTTTGTGGAGACTGCAGTAAAGTTTTACTGGAGATGAAGACATTAAACAGTCCAGTCATTTGGCCACAGTACAGGAGTGGCAGACCAAGCATGCCTGTCCTCGAGCCCCAGAGCAGTAATGCTGGCACCGGTGTTAGTGGGTTTGGGCGGAGTGATTCTTGGGCCTCTAGTCAGCTTGCTTGAGTGCTGGTAGTGGCAACAATGGGCCAGGTAGGTGGGAAGGTTCTTGGGCCTCTGGAGACCATGCAAGTTGGTATTCCACGGGTGATAGCAGTAGCAGTGGTGAGACAATCCTCTGACCCCCAAGAAGTCCACCCTGCTGTTAGTGGAGATTGCAGTGGACTGGATAGGTTAGTTCCAGTACTCTCAAGTGGCACATATAGGTGGGTGCCAGCTGCGATGGTAGTTATCAGGTTGTGTTTTCCCATCCTCAGGCCTCTGGAAGAAGGGCACAGGTGCTGAGAGAGGTGGATATGATAGGGTGATCCCCAGAACCCTGGTGGAATGCTTGGGTCAGGACAGCAGTGATTGCACTGTGGCTCTGCTGCTGTGGAGGGTAGTGTTGTTTTCCTTGCAGCAGACATAAACAAGTGGTTTAGGAGTGAGTGCATTGGCCACAGGTGGTGTCTATAAGTGGGGTATAATATTTCCTGAGGGCATTTTTAAATGCACAGAGACCCTGCTACTGAAGGAGACTGGGTTACTGCCAATGGCTCACACTTGGGCTCTGGCAGCAACCAGCAGCAATACCTGGCTGTGGGAAGGGAATGTCAATGGTGCCCCAGAGATGTGGAGATGCAGGGACTGTTGCTTCCCAGGGAAGGATGCAGTTGGGGGGTGGTTAGGCTCTCAAAATGGTGTGGTGCTGTACCTGCTTAGGACTCAGGGCATGTGTGGACCCAGTGTGAGCTCTCTCTATGAAGCAATGTCATTGGGTGGTCTCCAAAAAGCTCTGTATGTTAGTCTCAGGGCTTGTGTGAGTTGAGGGGCTCTTCTGTGGCTATAATTGCAGAAATCTGCCATGGAAATGTAGACCACTGGTGGTCACTAACTTACCCTTCCCCTGCTTTGGGGAGTCTCTCCAGGCTCCCAGCTTTTCCCAGTTGAGCTGGCTGACTCACATTCCTTTCCTTCCATGTCTTAGGCATTTCCTGCCATTTTTCATTGCATTTCAGCATTTTCTTTCTCAGGAGATCTATTCAAAATGTGATTATCTGTTCACTATTTTGGTTCTTATTTGTGGAAGGATCAAGTATCACATGCCTCTAGTCAGCTGTCTTGAAGCCCCTCCCTGATGGAATTTTTCATTGTAAAATATTTCATTGAGCATAAACATATAACTAAATTAAATGACTCTGACAGTGTAATGAAAAATTACAAATACAAGGCAGCCACATGTACAAAGTGCAATCAGAAAGAAACTTAATTGATGCAGAAGTAGGTAACTGTAGGGGAGAACTGTAATCTGGGGAGACAACTCAGAGGATGTCAACCATATGACATCAGATTTTTCATTAGAATGAAAGAAGTATCATATAGTAAATGCCTTGGAACCAGTTAGATAAAAATGTAAAGCCAAAATTCTTCAGCAGAATTTTGTTTAGCTATGCTGGACTTACCTAATTGTGACTTTCCCATGATTTATCTCAACAACTTGAAGTTTTTGATATTAGGAGACTAGCTTCTCCAGTCAGTGTATTATAAATATACTACTTTCTCATAATTTACATTTTGCTTTGGAAGTAAGTTTGTTCCTTGTTTGTTATACGAATGCATTCTAGTATTCCTCTTTCCCTAGTTAAATCTCTCATGAACATGTGTCCGAACGTATTACAGGCCTCAGAAATATTTTTCAAATAAACAGAAAACATGTGTTTTTAGTTTGTATTTTGAGATTTAATAATAGAGCTTTAAAAAAAAATTAGCTTTTATTATTTTTAGCTTTTTATTACTTAGACTTGAGGTAACCCATTAGAAAGTTTAAAAAAATCTTGTTTTTTTCCACAAATGATGAGTCTTTGCCTTAAATAATGATAACTTTAAAAAAAAAAATCAGCCTTGTATAGTAAATATTGTGCTGTAGATTCAAATAAACTTATGTGTGCATATCCCAGTTTAGAATCTTCCAGATTTAGGCAGATCTCCTTTCTGATCTCGATCTTTCTTGACTTCTAAATCATGAATTATACAGGTGTAACTTTATTCCATCTCAAATGCTATGCTGAAATAGTGCTTAGATAACCTGCAATGATTTCTGCCCTTAGACTCAAAGTAGTAAACATTAGTCTATTCAAGATTCTGTCTTATGTCATTCAGTGCTTGTTAGGGGTGAATGACTGATGGAGTTGGTGCTAACAACCTATACTTGGGTTTGTACAGCAATTTTATAGATTATTGTGCTTTCTTCTATGTGGAGGTTATAATCCTTTCATCAAATTTACTCACAAGTCGCTCTTCATAGCAAAATTTATTTAAACCTACCCCAGGCAAATTCCAATAGACCATATCCTCTCCCTAAATAGATTAGAGACAGAAACATATTCTTAGACAAAGGAAATTTAAGCAGGGGATTTGCATGTCTTATTTATCATCCTTTAATGCAATCGTGCAAATATTTTATAAGATAAGCTCTCTCTTCAGTATGTCTTTATAGGTCCAAGGCCTTAATATTAGGATTTGCTATTCTTTATTAGAAGTAAAATTCATTAAAATTGGGCAACAGGGATCATTTTGTGGATCCCTCACTTTAACTACTTAGCTGTCCTTAAAAACTTCATAGTTCCTTAACTGATTCGGAACCAAATCTAAAATTACTTAATCCTGAAAGTAATTTTTCTGTCAGCAAAAATGGAAATAATAATAAAAGAAAATAAAAACTGATAACTACCTCAGGGACTGTTGTGAGAACTAAAAGAGATCATGCTTTTCATGTGCTAAGCATAAGAGCTTTACAGAGTAAATGTTCAATAAATATTATTTAATCTTCTAAAAACATTCTTGTCATTTCTAAGTTATTATATTTATAATGAATTATTGATTCACAGAGATTTTTATTTATTTAATGTTTTAAAACATGTTCTTGAGTATATTATAATGTAATTCCGTGACAGAGGTCATTGCTAGGAATAAAATATATAATTTATATTGCAATATGTGTTTGTACAGTGCTCTTTTAACTGGAGGGATATAGAAACTATTTAGATGTGTTCATTCTAACTTTTGTGCCCTTCATACACAATTAATATTTTCATGTAACAACTTTTTTCCTTTACTAAATAATGCTGCTTTTTCTGTGCTTTTGTTGATGCATAAATTAGGGCCATTTTATTGAAGTCTTTATCTTTCATTTTTATAGTATTTGAGGTAGAAAAAGAAAAGAGCAACTACTAATGCACTGCTTAGTTTAAAAGACTTTGAGAAAATGTTTGCATCAGCTAAGGAATTGGTGCAAGGGAACCTACTTTTTAAGGAGGCCACTTCATAAATATCATGCGTGTTCTACTTTTCACAAAACTTCCTGTCAAATTTAAATGTTCCCATCTTTTGCTGTAATTTTTATTTTACTTTCTTGTTTTGGTGTGTTACATATATATTTTTTACTTAATTTCCTACAAACATTAATATATATTTGTCTGCCAAAATTAGGAACTCATAGGACTTGTTTGATAAAAGCAGCCTCTTAAGCCACCCTTATTTATTGTGGTTTCTATTCATTTCCCCACCATTTTCTACTGTTACTAATGCTGACATCATTTGCTCCAAAAAAAAAAAAAAAAAAAAATGTGTTTTATTTACAGGGCACAGCTTATGGAAGTGCTCCTGTACCTTCTCGCAGGCAATTATGTGAGTCTCTTAAATTCAGCTCTGTGTTGTAAACATGACTGTGTTCCTGTGCTGTAGCATGGCATGCTGATTGAGACCAAATGCCCAAAGGTCAATATGCAATCCCCAGTGTTGTATATTACCTATAATGTGTTTGTAGTAAATGGTTCCCTTTGCCTCTTCCTTATCTGTTTGTCATTATCCAGCCCATTTAAGAAAACTGCATTGCAATGTGGCCAACTGCATTGAGACTAATGGCTCAAAGTCTGGGGCAAAGAAAGAAGTGACTCTTGTTTAAGTTTACTTTCGTTTAGCAACAATGTTAGCACTCTCTCTCTCAACCCAACCAGTAAGGTTTCTTAAGTTCTAACTCATTTTACTTATTGGTTCAAAGACTTCTTATATCACACACAGTTGTATTTTTGCCACAGCTAATGACACCTTTCCTAGAAAGGGAAATCTATTAAAAGCAATACTTCTAGTGAATTTAAAACAAACCTGACATTGTAACAACCTTAGTTTTTTTTTTCCCCCCCCAAAGTCATTACATTTAGAAAATTGAAATTAATCTATAAATTTTTAGATAAGAAAGCCCAGATTTTACAACCTTGCTCAGCTGTATTATAAATATATGCACCTCGGCAGAGTCAGATACCTGCATTTCAGTTCAGGAGATTTCTGTGACAGCTTGTCTGCTTTAACGTGTACTTTTTGTCCATGAGAAATGTATATGTAAATTGAATATCTAGACTCTCCAAAGTGCCATCAGACTTTGAGAAAGAGCTATCTTCATTGCCCATTCCATCCATGTCTTTCCTCTTTTCCCACACCAGCATCCGTCAGATAATCATGGTTGTTTACCTCCATTATAGACTGCTACAGCAAGACACCCATGTGATTCTAATTGTCATGCCTCGCAATAAATGCCAAGTAGATTCATCTTAATATGATATTAAAGGTGATTCAAAGGTACAGTCCTGTTTGCATAATGCTTTTCTTCACTATTGGCAGAAAAAAACATATGAGTTGATGACCTTCACTGAGAAGGATCCATGAATCACTTCAACAAAACATGCAGCACTTTGCACCATGATAAAGCTGCCCAAACAACAAACAAAAAATATATATACTTTACTATCTCCTTTCTAATGAAAGAATTTTGAAAGTTTGGATTCTTATGAACATAGTTGCAGCAGACAGAATTGCTAATGTGAATAGAAGATGGGGTTTAGATATATTAAAAATCCACTTAAAGTTAAACAATCTCCCAAACATCTCCAATTGTCCTTTGCTATTATTTCTTTTCATAGGTCTCTCTATCATCTGCATTTCTAATGTACACTAAAGATATGGCTTCTTAAATATAGGCATCACTGCAATATTAATTGATGAACATTGAGAACTATAGCAACAAAATTTAATGTTTTTTTTTTTTTTAATGTGTCTCTTTTTAAAGAAAAAAGTCCTTGTGCTATATGTTACATTTCATTGAATGCAGAAGAATGCTGTTATGGAGATAGAGAAGATATTTTTACTAGAAATTTGGGGAACTGAGAATTTATTATATGTGCTATGAAACCGTAAGTGGAAATACAAAGGATATGGAGTTATTATCCTTAATTTGAATTAAATTTACCTTTTGCTTCACAAAATCAAAGTGTATTTATATATAAATAAAAATACTGGATATTTGAGATTTTAGATCACTGGTTCCAGTTAAATTAGTTAAGCCTACTAAAAATAGAAAAGCAAAAAGATGTATGATTTCTGTAAGTCTGAGGGTCTTAAGTTGCAATATTTACCAATATGTACCATGATAAAATGGATATTACCCTCTTAAATGTGTGGACTTGGCAAAAATAAGCATGTAAGATTCATGAATTTGGAATGTTTATTATCAAATTTTCTTTTAGTCAAATGCAAATTTTAGGATCTCTGCATTACATATTAGAAGAATCTCCTTGAGTATTTTGTAATTGTGGTGCTTATCAAAGTTGTTATGTAAAAGGAATGAATGCTTTTTTTCTATGCACAAATGTTAGAATATTAATAGTAAACATTTTTGTTTCTACCTTACTTCCTGTGAATACCTATCTAGACATTTTATAGTTGGTTCTTGATCCTAGTTTTTTTTGTTTTGTTTTTCTACATTTCTACCTACATCACAAGGTGTGATGAATACTTTCTTGAAGTTACAATTAAAGTTTTAGTTTTTGGGTTTTTTTAAATTCGGTTTTAAGGACTTTGTTTTATGGTTGGCATTTTAGCGATTTGAAAAATATATTCAGTCAAGAAATTTTCCTTAACAATAATTTGAAAAGGAATTTAGCAACAGAGAGGGATCCCTTAGATGATGATATGATTAGAAAAGCTGTGAATCTACAACGAGAGGATTCACTCTCCATCTTGGAAAGCACTGTATAGCTCTTAATTAAGCACTGTATAACTATTAATTAACAGGCCCACACAAATATGCATTTATTTGTTGCTAATAATTTATCAATGTTAAATGAGAAATAATATAGTCTTGGTGAGTATTTTTCACTTTCAGAGAAAATGCTTGATGAAGGTTAACTAACTTGGATAATGTGGAGTCTTGGGAAGTTATTTGAAAGCTAAAAGTACATTTTTATTTAAATACCAAAATGATACATCATTTATTCAGATAGAGTTCTCTTCTCAGTTTTCTACGGGTTTATGTTTTAAAATTGTAATCAATATTGTTACATGAAACTCTATCATGTGTTGCTATAACCTTATCTACATTGGATATGAATGGAGATCTTTAACATTCGGATAAAATTTTGCAAAGATGTGACCCATAGATTACTGTCTCAACATTCAAAATACAAGAACTGATTTCAATTTGGTTATTGTTTTCCATTTTGTGACCATAATTACTACTTTAAGAGTTCCAAATTACAGAAGCATGTAACTCTAAAATTTAATAAACCATAAATATGTGTTCTCTTGAAAAAAGTAGTAAGCGTCAAGTTTCATAATGCATTCAACAATCCAAAGCCAATTTGGTTAAAAAAATTAAATGTAGGTGACTTGCTTTCATATTTTATAACATGGCTTCTTTATTTCTCAGTATATGAATGAAAAGAGCACCAAATGTTTGTAAGTTGTCTATTCAAGAGTAGTTTAATTTAGCTGAATCATTCATCAAATAGTTCAATATTAACCTAACTGAACTGAATATACATGAAAATAATATTGCCTTGCTATTGAAAATCAGATAGCAGTTATTTTATAGCACAAATGAGACTGAAATTATATATTTAAAGAGGGGTACTCAGTCAATTTTTTTTTTCCTTTTATTTCCTGCTAAAGAGCAATTTTTTTTTTTTTTTTTTTTTTTTTGAGACGGAGTCTCGCTTTGTCGCCCAGGCTGAAGTGCAGTGGTGCGATCTTGGCTCACTGCAATCTCCGCTTCCTGGGTTCAGGCCATTCTCCTGCCTCAGCCTCCCGAGTAGCTGGGACTGCAGGCACCCACCACCACGCCAGGCTAATTTTTTTGTATTTTTAGTAGAGACGGAGTTTGACCATGTTAGCCAGGATGGTCTCAATCCCCTGATCTTGTGATCTGCCCGCCTCCGCCTCCGGAAGTGCTGGGATTACAGGCGTGAGCCACTCCCTGCCTAAAGAGCAATTTTTAAATTCAAAATTCATGAACACAAAAATGCAAGAAAAAAGGCAGGAAAACAATGTATTTACTGAAAATACTAGTAACTTCAAAGTCAGAAAAAATGGTTCTAATAAATGTCTGTAAGAACACGTTTCTGACTAATTTTTTCACTGTGTCTTCTGATTTAATCCCTTTTCTTCTCAATTAATCAGTTTCTTTCCTGTCATTTCCCTTTTTTTCTGTCTCTACTGTTCCACACAATGTATTTGCATTTTTTATCATTCTATTTTAGATGTAGCTTTGATTTTATTTGTTTTCTTCATTCTTTGCCAGGATTATACACAGGATAGGACCAAGCTTCCACAGTAGTGAGGACTAACATAACTTTTCCTGTAACTATGTTTGAAATATATCTTCAGATAATCTGTCTGGTAAAGTTGCTTCAAACCTGAGTAAACCAATGCCTACTTGACTCTGCATTCTTAGGGAACAAAAGCAAGTGCATTGTGTCTATAACTTCACATTTAAGTATACTTATGTATTTGGGATTAAGGAAGCTCTAATCTTCAGAAGGTAGGCTTCAGTCAGAAAGAGAATAGCAGGGAAAAGTTTTAAGTGGCATGATAAAATCATCCACATTCCACAGGAAGAGGCTAAGCTAATACAGTAGATAGCTAGAAAGAGGGAAAGGCACAAAGGAAAAATGCAATTATGTGTTATAATCCCGTGGAAGGCAAATTCTGAATATTGCCTTTCTTTTGAGACCAAAGTAATGATTTTACATGTAATTGAGCTGACTATTTTTGAGCTACTAAAGACTAAAAGTTATGCTCTGTTCTGGTAAAAGAAAAAAAAAAGGCATTTTCTTTGATATATAGACAACAGTAATTACTATTCTAGGATATTGAGTTTATTTAGGATATATTTGTGTATGTGTGTATATATACACACACATATATATATATATATGTATACACACACATACACAAATATATCCACACACACCTTCTGGTTTTAGCATAGGATGTAGAAAGCTGGAGAGAACATTGTTCCCACCCTTATAATAACAACACAAACAACACATAAATATATGTACACATATATACACACACACCTTCTGGCTTTAGCGTAGGATGTAGAAAACTGGAAAGAACATTGTTCCCACCCTTATAATAACAACACAAAATCTGGAGAAAATTCAAATTCACAATTTTTCTTTAACCATCAGAGAGTTAAAGCCACAGGGCAACCAACTAACCTGTACATAAGTAAAGATAGATACTGACAAGGTAATACCAGTTGTAGCAGATACAGCCAGAACGTAGAATTTTGCAAAAACAACAACAACAAAAAGGTTAATGAATCAATAAGTCAAGTGTGAGATAGGAAG